AATGCGCACCCCGGTGAACAGCAAAAGAAGGGCGCCAAAGCATTCGCGATGGCGAATGGGCGGAGTCGCTCGAGCTCCCGCTGTCACCGTATGGCCGGAGCGGCGCTTTGTTGCGAGGGCCTTCAATGCTGCTTGCAGTTTTAATTATTTTTTTAGGCCCGAGCAGCGAAGCGCTCTGTTCAGGCCCGAGCTGCAATTTTTTTGGCAAATGAATTTGCCTTTTGGGGGACTTAACATATCCCAAAACCCCACCAAATTTGGCGGACGCATCATGACTGCTGAAAAATTACGTATTATAAGGGCGTGGCAAAAATTTCAACAGAAACAGCTCAAGAGCGCCACCTAGAAAATTTCAAAATACACTCCGCATTAACCTTAGTTTGTCGTAGAAACATGAAATTTGGTACACTTGTCCAATTCCCAAAGATGCACAGAAAACCCTCAGGCACCAACGTTGTATGATAAACAGGAAGGCGGCCATTTTGAAATGCCGTCCCAATTTTCACACCTTTCTGGTGGTTTACAGCCTCCGCATTTGAACAAACTCCTAGGGATTTCGCTCAATCTGATTCAAACTTGGCCATTTTGGCCAAAAGGCATGGGGGACGGAACATTGTCTAAATGGTGCGTTTTGGAGCATGCTGAAGGGGCGGGGCCAGAACTCAAAGTTTGACATCTTGCCATGAAAAACAAAATGCTAATAGCTCCTACAGGGAAACTGTCTGAGACATCAAACCTTCAGTGATTGATCCACATTCGGTCTCCTGCAAGACTGAATGGTCAAATCATGACATCACTTAAGCCACACTCTCTAACAACAGGAAGTGTAAAGTTTTTCGTTTAATGGTCCCTATCTGACCCCTGTGATCTAATCAGCATGATAATGTGTTCAGTGACCGAAGACATGTTGGTGTAACTTGCTTTCCAACACTGACAGTTTTGGGTGGAGCATGTGGGCGGCGCGGCGTAGCAAAGTAAGACGTAACGCCTTTGCCATACATTTGGCTCTAAATTGCATAGATTTTTGTCGAGGTTCACCAAACTCACTATGATCGATCAATATTCACCCCTTGAACAAGAAGACATGATAAGTGGCCAATAGCCTCTACAGCGCCCTCTAGAATATTTTAAAACTTCAGGCACAAGCTATTTTTGACCGATAATTCTGAAACTCTGTGTACACATGTATCTTCTCAGGACCTATGAAAAAGTCTCTTGGAGCCCTGGTCCAAATTCAACAGGAAGTCAGCCATTTTGAGTCAAAGGGTCATTTGTGAACGTTTCTAATTGCAAATTTTAATGAACTCCTAAAAGGGATTTGGAAGGATTGACTTCAAACTTGGTTGATATACCCTTAAGACATTGGAGAGTAAAAGTTATCTAAATCTTGCATTTTCATATATGTTAAAGGGGCGTGCCCAAGCTTCAAACTTGCGCTTCATGCCATAAATTTCAAAACGCTATAACTTTCACAATGAAAGACTGAATTGCACGAAACTTGGCACGAGTCATCCCTGTTGGATGCCCGACGATCCACTGTTGTCATATTCTGAGGTTGTCAAAGCCCAGCCCCCTCAGAATAGGAAGTCACTATTTTTTTACTTGGAACGCTCCCTGTCTGACACCCTTGACCTAATCAGGATGATCCTATGTTAGAAGACATTTAACAAGTTGTTCTGACTTGCTTTAAAGCGCAAACTGTTTTTGCTGGAGGATGTGGGCGTGGCAGCGTGGTGAATTAAGAAGTGACACCGTTGCAATACGTTTGGCTCTAAATTGCACAGATTTGAGCTGAGGTGTACCAAAATCACTATGATCGATCATTATCCACCCCTTGAACAGGAATCCATGATAAGTGGCCAATAACCTCCACAGTACCCACTACATTATTCCTACAGTTATAGCTCAGTGATATATCATTCGATCTGCACCAAATTTATTGTGCGTCAGCAGTGAACACTTCTAGACACACTGATATTGTGGTTTAACATGTGACTCCAGTGCGCCCCCTAGATTAATCCAACAGTTATATGTCAGTGATACATCAACCGATCTGCACCATATTTATTGTGGATGATCAGTTAGCACTTCTAAACACGTTGACATTGTTTTATTAACAGACTCCAGTGCGCCCACTACATTATTCAAACTGTTATATCACTGTGATACATCATCTGATCTGAACCAGATTTTTGGTGTATCATCAGTGAGAACTTCAACACACAGTAGTATTTGTGTATAACATTTCACTCCAGTGCACCCCCTAGATTTTTCTAACAGTTATATCTCAGGGATACATCATTCAATATGTGCCACATTTAATTTGCGCGATCAGTGAGCATTTCTAGACACACTGATATTGCGGTTTAACATATGACTCGAGTGCGCCCCCTAGATTATTCCAAAAGTAATATCTAAGTGATACATCATACGATCTGCACTGGATTTTTTTGTGCGCCATCAGTGAACACTTCTAGATCCATTGATATTACAGTTTACCTTTTCATTCAAGTGCGCCCCCTTCAATATTCAAACCCTTATATCTCAGTGACACATCGTCTGATCTGCACAAAATTTAATGTGCATGATCAATGAGCACTTTTTGACACATTTGTGTTGTTATTTACCATTTGACTCCAGTGCGTCCCCTACATTATTCCAACAGTTATATCTCAGTGAAATATCCAATATGTACCAGATTTTTTGTGCATAATCAGTTATCACTTATAGACACAATGGTATTGTTGTTTTCCTTTTGACTCAAGTGCACCACCTACATTATTCAAACTGTTATATCTCAGTGATACATCATCCGTTGTGTCAGCTCATTTGAGCATGCACTAAAAGTAATACTTCCGGGTCGCACAGATCGCCATTAATTTACGATGAAAAGTTCAATTTTAGAAAAGTATGATCTTCATGTTGCTAATTTACGCCACTTGTAAAAGTAATACTTCCGGGTGACACGGATCGCTGTTAATTTACTTAGAAAAGTATAATCTTCATGTTGCTAATTTACACCACTCATATTTCCATTAAAATCACCGACATACTTACGTTATTGGTTAAAATGATATGCGACGTATATTTAGGGTAAATACATTTTTTTTTTAGGGTGATGTAGTGCAGCTTCACTATGGAGCGACGCCGTTTCACCATGGAAATATTTCATTCTGTATCTCTGAGAGTTTTCTCATTCAGTCCGTCGCACATCATTTTAACTAATGACAAAAATATGTCAATGAAATACGAGTGGCGTAAATGAGCAATATGAAGATCGTGCTTTTCTAAATAAATTAAGACAGTTCTTATTCATAAACGGAATTATAACATTGTCTAGGAAAATTAATCAATTTATAGAAAGAGATATTTTAATAAATATAGTATGTTTCATAAATATATTTTACTCATATGTGTTGTATTAATTCTGCTTACAGGATATTTCCAGTACATTTTCCTTAAACTTGCATATTCAATGGTGATCCGTGCGACACGGAAGTATTATTTTTAGCGCATGTACAAATGACACTACAGATCGTGCTTCCGGAACAGATTGCGAAATGACATGCATCTCCAATCCCTGACCCTCGATATGATGCAGCTTACGGGCAGCAGTTCAATTTCCTCCTCGACAACTGATCGATCTTTTTTAACATGAAAGCTGCATCATAATAGAATAGAATAGAATAGAAACAGCCTTTATTGTCCCACGGATGGGAAGTTCCAGTGTATCAGCAGCAACAGACAAAAAGATAAAAAGATTTCACACAAAAGTTCCTAAATGTTAATAAACAACACAATATATAAGAAACAAGATAAACAATATCACTAACAATGTTCAATATGTATTGGAACATTGATAAGGACAGACTATTGACAGCACAGTATTATAGGCAGAGTGTGTGTTTCAGCAGAGGTCAGCATGTATTTGATCCTTGTAGAGTTTGTTGGGAGCAGTGATGGTTGTAGAGTCTAACAGCTGCTGGAGGAAGGACCTGCGGTGACGCTCCTTTGTGCATTTAGGAGCAGGAACCTGTCACTGAACGAGCTCTCCAGTTCAGCAGCAGCTTCATGGGGTGGGAGATGTTATCCAGCAATGATGTTATTTTAGCTGGAGTCCTTCTGTCTCCCACCACTTGACCTGGGTCGAGGGGGCGTCCAAGCACAGAGCTGGTCTTCTTGATGATTTTATCTAGCTGCTTCTTCTCAGCTGATGATAAGCTGCTGCTCCAACAAACAACACCATAGAAGATGGCTGATGCTACTACTGAGTCAAAGAAAGTCTTCAGGAGCACCCCCTGCACTCCAAAAGACCTCAGTCTCCTCATAAGAAATTCTCTGTGTGTTTTCCATAATCACTGAACAAATGAACAAGTCTGTGCATGAAGCGCAAAATACGATAACACGGAAACGATCTGAAGAAATTAATTCATGTCTATCTTGGGGATGTTCCTTGAGAGTGCCTCGGTCATTCAGGTTAGACTTCTGGTCACATGATGACAGAGTGGGTGGAGTTATGGTTGGGTATTTGAAACCGTGAGCAAAATGCCTTGTACATCTGATTACCTGAGGGCATTCTTTCTGTGTCACAAACATCTGCCCCCATAAGGGGCGGGGTGCTGGGAGCCACAAGCACCCAGCTCTGTCAATGGAAAATGTTTGTCAGTGGCAGGAAGCTACTGAGAAATGGCAGAAAGTCCTTCAAATTAAAATATAAAGATATAAATTATGAAAATTATGAAAAAAATACACAAGATGCTCCAGCATATAAACCATGGGGTACAAAGTGTGAGACAAAAGCAGAGGCTTGTAGAACGGCAATTACGGTACTGTTAATTTGTCGGTTTGGTGGGGTTCGGAAATGATGGCTACAGGCTGGGGCTGGGTCGGGTCACATTTTTTGGACCTGAATGAAACTCTAGAGAAAAGACATTTCTCCTGCTCCAGTTAAGGCTGAAACTGTACATGGCAGAAAATGAGAAGTATCTGCTTTAACAAACCTGTCCTGTTTCTGTGACAGCCAGACAGTGTAGGGCTCCAACAGCAACATGGACAATCTTTTTCCCTCTCAATCCTTCCACCATCTGTGGCTTTCGAACATGAACATCAGTGCCGTGGCCCAGTCGAAAATAGTCACCTTTACCCCTGTTTGGAAATACAAACATTTATCAATGATCAGAAACCATCAGCAGTCATTTATCACTTGTAAATTTCTATGAAGGATGTAAAGTACCATCTTTGGGTATTTCAGGACAATCTTACCAGGTCCAAACGATGCCAGATTTAGTCAAAGCCAGGGAAAATTGAGCTCCACACTCAATTTGACAGACACTTTGTCCATTAAGTCTCTCTATGTTCTGAGGAATGTTACAGCCCTCACTGCCACCCCGGCCAAGCTTTCCAAAGTCCCCATCACCCCAAGAAAACACCAATCCTGACAAAATATAAAAATATTATAATAAAAAAACATGGAAACTGAAACACAACCAAACAAATCTCGTTTAAAAAAAAATAAATCAAAGATGTAACTGGAGTTTACAAAACAACCTAAATCTATTTTTAGATTTGTGGGTTTATATACAAGTCAAGTCAAGTCAAATTTATTTCTATAGCACATTTAAAACAATAACAATTAACAAAGTGCTTAACAAAAAGATCACAGCATCAAATAAAAACAAGATATAATAATTACAGCATCAGGAATAAAAGCATAAAAACATGAAACATAAGTAGAAACAATGAAATACTAAATCAAATCAACCTGAGTTAAATGTCAAGGAATAAAAACAAAATGGATGAACACAATCATCAACAATGGAATACCAAATGAGATCACCCTGTGTTAAATGTCAATGAATACAGATGTGTCAGTGAGTACAGATGTGTCAGTGAGTACAGATGTGTTTTGAGGAGAGATTTCAAAATAGAGACTGAGGTGGCCTGTCGAATGTTGATGGGCAGATTGTTCCAGAGTTTAGGGCCCATGACTGAAAACGCCCGATCTCCTCTGAGCTTCAGCTGGTTTTTGATACGGCCAAAAGCAGCTGGTCTGATGATCTCAAGGCCTAAGAAGGAGCATAAGGATGAAGGAGGTCGGAGAGGTATGAGGGTGCAAGGCCGTTAACACTTAAATGTCAGCAGAAGAATCTTAAAATCAACTCTGACACGCACAGGAAGCCAGTGAAGAGAGGACAGAACTGGAGTAATGTGCTCAAACCTGTGAGTTCCTGTTAGTAGCTGAGCTGCAGCATTTTGTACGAGCTGGAGACGTGAGAGAGAGACCTGACTGACCCCAGCATAAAGTGAGTTACAGTAGTCCAGTGGGTTGTAATTAGGGCTGCAACTAACGATTTTTTCAACAAGCAATTAATCAGCTGATTATTCTTTCGATTAATCAATTTATCGGCCAAAAAAACAAAATTGTTTTAATTACCACCTCTTTATTCCAAAATTTGACTGACATAGCAACTTGCACAGAAAACAGGTTGCTATTTGACTATTCTGTTAATAAAATGTTGAATAATAAAAAAAAAGTTAGTCAAATAGCTTAAAAATTAATGTACACAAAAATATATACAAATGTATCTTTATACCTGCACAGTATGTAGCTACTTTGTAAAATGTGTCCTTGAGGGAAGAGTGTAAAAGTGTAGATTATTGTAACCTGGATTAAAAGTGTGGATTATTGTAACCTGAATTAAAAGTGTGGATTATTGTAACCTGGATTAAAAGTGTGGATTATTGTAACATGGATTAAAAGTGTGGATTATTGTAACCTGGATTAAAAGTGTAGATTATTGTAACTTGGATTAAAAGTGTGGATTATTGTAACTTGGATTAAAAGTGTGGATTATTGTAGTGAAGCCTTCGTCTTCAACCATGGACAGAGGCCTCATGTCAGTGACGATCATGTTCAGGATGTTTCAGTGAAGACAGCTGCTGCTGTGGTGTCCATGATGTCTGTCCATCATGAAGGATGTTGTTGTTGTTTTCTGGAATGAGACAGTAAATATGTTTTATATCATAATTTACAGCAACTCAAGAAATGCCTTGTTTCACTTACAGTGTTAGGTTCAGGCAAAAGTAGCTAAAAGAGCAATTACACACACACACACACACACACACACACACACACACACACACACACACACACACATATAAAATACTTAATTCCACACATTTGAGTAGATGTAATAAATGACTTTAATTCCTGTTTAAATGCAATTCATCCTGCCATACCTGCAGTGTCTTCAGACTTTGCCAGCAAATTAAAAGTTGAAGCTTAATCATTAAATTATTATCTTTGTGTTAGATTTATTTATAAATCACATTTAAACACTGCTTGTTCCAATTAAATTAAATAAAAAGTAACACACACGTTCTCTATCACCGTCATTAATCAACAAACAAAGAAGCAGCTTCAGCTTCAGACAGACTGACGTTACGTTTTCTCACTTGGAAACAGAACAATGTGAATATTGTAGAGACTCACCTGCCAGATACAACTTGTCAACACATGACAAGTTGTATCTGCTGCTGCTCCTTCATCCACACCATGGTGAAGTTAGTTTACGACTCCCACATGTTTATGTTTATCTCCGTGGTTCTCCCGTGTCGTGTCGTCACTTTTCAAAGCTGCAAGTTTCAGTTTTTATCTTTGTGAAGTTCTCCCACACTTGGAGGACTTGGGTCCAACAGTTTTCTCTGCGTCGGTCATTTGTAAAATTTCCTTATGTTCCTTTGAAAACACCGACTCTGCTCCTCCTCCTCCTCCTCCTCCTCCTCGCTCTGTTCAACTCGCGCTGCAGTTTGTTTTTTTCAAACTTTATTCAGTCAGTCAGCATTGACAATGAACTGCAGGTGAACAAAACGGCTCTGCAGCGCCATGAAAGACGCTTAATCGCGCGACACAACAAATCCATAATGAAATTCGTTGCCAGCACTTTTAATCATCAACTTTTATTGATTTTATTGATTCGTTGTTGCAGCCCTAGTTGTAATTAAATGCATGGACTAATTTCTCAAGATCGAATCTGGACAGCACGGACTTAAGCTTAGCTTTCTGCCTTAGGTGAAAGAAGCTTTTTTTAAGAACAGAGTTGATCTGCTTATTGAACTTAAAATCTGCATATAAAACTATCCCAAGATTGGTAACGGATGCTTCCCTCCCTCCCTCTCTGCTTTGCTTTGCTGCTCTGTCTGTCTGTGAAACTGCTGTGAGACTCTCTTACATTTCTTCCGAACCATAATTATGGACTGTTTTGACCAGTTGGTCCCTCAACTCAATTTACAGCATTTCTTCAAAGAGAAGACAGGCTTTAGGCGAGCCGGTTTGCCCTGTTGGCACGCACACAGCTGGATATCTCATTGACTGGAAAACTTGATGATGTGTCTATCTCTGCTGCCATCTGTGGATTTTAAGGACACATATTTAATTGAATTTTCAATAACTGGTTCCTGCTTTTTGGATTCAGCTGGTGCTGGTTTTATCAATCAATCAAGGAAGTCGTCAGCAGCAAATTTGGACCCGATCACGCTGCTTGCCTTTATGATGGCTTGGTTCATGTCTGGAGTACCCGGACTCAAACGCTTTGGGCTGAATGGATCAGATCTTGGGGATTTTACTCAGTCACGTTCCATCGGTGTGGCCATGTTAATTTGGACATTTTGGAACCGAGTGGACCAACACAGACTCAAGGTTGATGTCATTAAGTTCTGCCTGTCCCCAAAACAACTGTGTGTTTATCTGAATTTGGCTCCCTTGGCTGGCCTTGAAGGTCATCTTATCTGAATTCACTGGAGAACATGTGATCTGACGCTCACCACCCCCTCCCTGAGAAATTTCCAACTGATAACCAGATGAACCAGCTGAATAAACTTTTGTCATCATTTCAGGACTCTTGGATTCTCATGGACATTAATCTTGGCCATTCCTCGACATACCTTGAGAATGTTTATGGATCTCAACGGAGGACATGGACTGATTATTCCATCCTTATCAGAACTCTTACAGTGACCTCGAGAGCATCTATGAACATGCTGTGTAGTTTCTTAAAGCCAGACTGAAAGATCTCAAGAATAGAATTTCCACTCAAGAATTCGTTTAATTGAGTGAAAACTATTTTCTCCAGGATCTTAGTAAGAATCAGAATCAGAATAAACTTTATTGGCATTGCACCGAGATACAACGTGAATATGTACGTACAGTCGTCTGAAGATGGGCGGAGTGCACGAAGCTGCGGCTAAAATAATCAGCGCGGCCTCTTATTCTTATTCAGAATAATATTTTGCTTGGATAAGAAAAGGAAAGAAAACATGAGGAGAGACGGTATAAAAAAAAAGATTTCTCACTCCGTGTCCTAGACAGACCATGATTTGAGGCATCAAAAAAACCTCCCACAGCAAAGCAACATGAACAGACGTTATACATGAACATATAGGCCGTGAAAACATAGAATTTTCAAGGGAAAGTCGTAGCATAGTCCAGAGCCCCCCCTCAGCCATTGTCCAGATAAGAGGTGACGTTCATCTTCAGCTCAATTGAGGTTCTGTTACATGTCCACGGCCTTGGGGGAGGGAGGGGTGAGGAAACAGACAAAGCATCTTTGTTGTTTTCCAAACATTCCAGGAGGAGTTGAGATAAGTCCGGCATCAAGGCCACAGTTTGGGTCAGGCAGAACTCGTAATTGTTGTTTCTGCCTTTAAAGTCTCGCTGGTACATATTCTCTGATGGAAACTCCAAAACAGCCGAATTGATCCTTTACTCCAAAAGTCGAGCTCACAGCTTCTCCAGATTATTCCACCATTCATGAGTGCTGCCAGGGAGAACACAGTCCTGATAACAGCTGCTCCAACTCCCTGTCGCAGCTCCACATTCAGTCCGAGCACTGTCGAGCTTCAACACTTCCACACAAATTTGTAGACAACCAGATTCCACCAACCAAACAGTAGATTCTAGTCGTCATCGTGAATCCAATTTTTGCTCTAGAGTTCAGAGGGTCCTCCTTACTCTGACTCCTGTCGGGAGAAGTTGATCGATTTTGTTGAGAGACCAGCTGATCCTTCCAATTAAGAGGCATGCAGGAAAAAAAAAAGAGGCTTTTTAAGGGTTCACAGGACAAAAGAGCGCAGCAGGGAAGCAGGTGGGGGCGGGGGGGGGGGGAGAGAGGCAAAAAACGTCTGGTTTCACCGTAGAGTAGCAAGAAAAAAAAGAAAGGGATGTTTTGGAGATAGGTCTGAAGTTTGAGCAGGTTGACGGGTCAAGTCCAGGTTTTTTAATTAAAAGAGTTACCACTGCATGTTTAAAGACATCAGGAACTACACCTGTAGCCATACTTCTGTTTATAATGTCAAGAACAGAGGGTCCAGTGGAGGGTAGGACTTGTTTAAAAAACGATGCAGGGATGGGGTCAGCAGGGGAACCTGAGGGTTTCACATGACCAATGACGTCATTTAGAAATGAGGGAAATGGGTTCAAACTGGTTAAAGACTGATGTGGAGGGGACAAAGACAGAGGGGTCAGCTGTGGTGTGAGGAATCAGTGACCTGATCGACTCAACCTTTTTAACAAAGAAACTGGCAAAGTCGTCACACGTAACTGCAGAGACCTCCCTGTTGGCAGACTGAGGCACGGTTAAAATGGAGTTAATGGTGTTGAAAAGAACGTGGGGATTGTGGCTGTTTGAGGCGATGATTTGGGAGAAATATTTGTTTTTTTCTGATTTAACAGTGGCCTGGTACTCTTTGTAACATGATTTTAGCATGATAAAGAAACGTGAAGTTTGTCCTTCTTCCATTTACGTTCGGCTTTCCTGCATTGATGTCTGGCTGCTCGGGTGATCTCATTCAACAAATGGTGTGTGCACTTTTGTCACCTGATTTTCAATGGGACAATTAGGTCTAGCACCTTAGCACAGGTCTCTTGATGTGCAGTGACTAGCTCGTGGGTGTAAATGTAAGTAGAGGATTCACAGACTGAGACAGAGTTTTTTGTAAAAGCAGAAGAGTTCCGCAGAGGAAGGGTTAAATATTAGACAAGGCCTGGCTGGAGGGGGAGGGGTTTGGGCTCGTAAACAAAAGAAGTGTTGACAGAAATGGGTTTGTGGTTGGAGAAAACAGTATCCCCGATTTCTAAATCAGAAACAGATAAGCATAGGTTAACACTAGAACCAGTGTGTGACCACACATAGGCCAGAGGCTAATGATGTTAGGGGGGCCATGGCATGGGAAAGTTTGGAAAACCCTGGTCTAATCCATCGGTTTCCAAACTTCTCAATGTCATGTCTCTCTTCCCCTCAAACCACCCACGTCTACCATTTAACACTTCCTCTGCGACCCTCTTCTGCTTTTACAAAAAACTCTGTCTCAGT